TCAAATTTTTTTGAAGTTGGTTATGCATTTCTATTTTTTCATATGTTTCATAAAAACATATGTTTTACACTTTTGTTTGCAAATTAAAGTGACAGATTTTTGAAAATTTGGAGTAAAAAAATGGAGGAAAAAATAAAAGCTTCTGAAAATATGAATGAAGTAGAGTTTACATCGAACGAAGAATTTCATTCAATTGAAATTAACGATTTAAGTGTGTAAGTATTAATTATATATATATATATTTATGTTATTATTTCAGTAAATGTTATTCATTATTATTTTATATAGAAAAATAACTGTAAAATATACTTATTTTCTTATTTTATTAGAAAATAAAAGTATTATATAAAAAATTATAAATTATTTGCAGTGAAGCGGTTGGTTATATAGACAAAATTCGATCAGCGGTGGATCAAAAAGGTACTCAAGTAATGTCACTTGTCATTAATAACCAAAATGGTTCAAGATGTCATGTTACAGCTTGGGGCAGTGACAATATTAAAAAAATTATTTCTGTCGAACAGAAAAATGTAAGTATTCAAGTCGTAATTTTGAAGTATTTTGATTGACAAAATAAAATTCAAAAATTGATCCAGGGTGGCCACTATTTTTAGAATTTTTGCCTCCCGGTTTTCTTCCGGTAGAAATTAGTGATTTTTTCTGTATATTGAAATAAAATATATAACAAATTTTATTAAGTATAGTAGACATTTTAGTAAACATTTTTCAATTTAGAGAAAACGTGTAAAAATGGGAAATATTGATACAAAAAATAATATACTTCTGAAAATATTATTCAGTCTTTAAGAAATGTATTTCAAATTTTAGTAATTATACAAAATCTTTATACTGAGATTCAATATATTTTATATCATTTTTTTCCAGTTTTTTCTCATAACTTTTACACTTTTAGTCCTAGAAAAAATTTCCTAAACGTTTTTTGCTCAGAAAATATTGAAGTTTCAGAAAAAAAAATTAATTTTGAAAAATTAAAATTTTTGTATTTATTTATTTAAAAAATAAAATTTGTTTTTAATTTTTAAACTTATTATTGGGCTCCGTTTACTTAGCGGGGGTTTCCTACCTTCTCGGCACGGTATTTTTCAGTTTTTCTCTAAATAACATTTTATAATTAATTTACGATTTTTAGTATTACTTTTTTTTATTTTTTTTTATTATTCTTTTTTTGACACAGAATTAGATTAGATGTAGTATAGAAAAAATCTGAGGATATACCCTTCAATCTCAAGTGGAATTGCTCATATATTTTACATAATTAACACGAAATTTTAGATGGTTAAAAGTTAAACAATTTTCGAACAATTGCGCGAATCACAAAACACATAAAATCTCCCGGATGAATTTTTCAGTCCCGGTTTTCTCCCGATTCTCCCGGTTGAAGAATATTAAAAAAAAATTATGTCGATCTAATGTGTGCTACGAGGGTTAATATAAATTAATTAAAATTACAGATTATAAGCATTGAAGGCGCCAAAGCAGCGAAATTTAATAACCCCAATTTAAATGATGGCAACCTTAATTACTATTTAGAAATTCAGGAAAATAAAATTATGAAAAATTTTAAAAATTCAAAAATTGATTATGTTCTCCCAATATGCGAACCAAAAAAAATAACATTTAAGGATATCGTGAATGAACGAAATAACCTTGTCCGTAAGTAACCATTGTTTTATTCATTCACTTTTTAAATTATTTAAATAAAAAAATTAAATTATTATTATTATTATTATTATTATTTAATTGATAGGTATTGAGGGATACATAAAAAATCAAATTAGACTATTAATAAATTATACAAAAAATAATGAAATTATTCAGCATGGATGCGGTCCCGAATAAAAATTAAAGTCGCCATTATATAGGACCTATGACGGTTGGCCTACCTGGCGACATAGGCCTGCGACTTTTTTTTGACATACTGTCTACATAGAAATGTAACGCTTGGCTACATACGGTGTACATAGGCCACGAGATGTAGGACCTATGTAGGACTTTTATACTAGCTTGTATATAGGCCAGATGATGTAGGATCTACACAAGAATGTAACGCTTGGCTACATCCAATCTACGTAGGCTAACATACGTAGAGCCTACATTGAAAGGCATATTTTCATTAATTAATAATTAAATTATTATTTAAAAAATCAGGAAAATTAGTAGTTTATTTCAATATAATCTAAACAATATAAATTCAATAAAAAAAAAGTACCTTTCATATTTTTGCGGGATTTTCCTATACAATGGTAGGTGAGATTTGAGCCCTCTACTCTATAGTGTTGTGTGTGCAATTGGGTCTGGGGAGGGGAGCCTACAACCATTGGGAGCGGCGCCTTAACGCGCTCGACCAAGGGAGGCTATGAAGGTTCCGTACAAAGTTAAGAAATAAGTGGAGTAGCGTAGATGTTCTCTTACAAAGCAACGCAGTAGAACTATTATAAGTATAGCGCTATATAGTCACAATAAAATACAGCAAGTACACAAGTACTTTATATTGAATTAATATTGATTTATATTAAAAATGGATAACAAAATTTTATATTAGTATTATTTGTTTACAAATAAAATAATTATTATGCATTAAAAATTATGACAATTATATAATGTCATTATGAAACAAAAATCTTGTTTTTCACGTATAATTATTATTTTAAATAATATTAAAACGTAAAATGACTTAAATGTTCAATAATATCAAACATGCAGAGTATCAATTTGTAATTTTTAATAAATCCAAATTTAATAAATTAATAATAATAATAAAATAATAATAATAAATTAATAATTTAATAAATAAATAATAAATTTAATAAATAATTTTTAATATAATTTGAAATTTTAAAATAAGTGACTCAAAAATATTTCTAATATAAGCACCTATATAAAAAGACCTATTCTACATAAAATATGTTATGTCCTACGACCTACATTGAATGACCTGCAGGAAAACAATCTCAATCCTATGTCATGTGTCTTATAAAAATCCTACATAAACAAGCCTGCGTATATGCTATGTAGTTATTACATTTTAAGGCCTATATAGAAATGCAGATATTTTTTCTACATAGAATGTATGTTAAAAGGCCTATACAGATCCTACATCGAAAGGCCTAAATAAATTCTACATAGTTTTGATATCAAATGGCCTACGTAGAAAGGCCTATGCATTTCAAACCTAGAATGTATGTTAGAAAGCCTATGTAGAATCTACATCAAAAGGCCTACATAATTTCTACATAGTTTTGATATCACATGGCCTATGTAGAAAGGCCTATGCATTTATTATCTAGAATGTATGTCAAAAAGCCTATGTAGAATCTACATCAAACGGCCTACATAAATTCTACATAGTTTTGATATCAAATGGCCTATGTAGAAAGGCCTATGCATTTATTATGTAGAATGTATGTCAAAAGGCCTATGTAGAATCTACATCAAAAGGCCTACATAAATTCTACATAGTTTTGATATCAAATGGCCTATGTAGAAAGGCCTATGCATTTATTATGTAGAATGTATGTCAAAAGGCCTATGTAGAATCTACATCAAAAGGCCTACATAAATTCTACATAGTTTTGATATCAAATGGCCTATGTAGAAAGGCCTATGCATTTATTATGTAGAATGTATGTCAAAAGGCCTATGTAGAATCTACATCAAAAGGTTACATAGATTCTACATAGGTTTGAAATCAAATGACCTATATAGAAAGGCCTATATATTCCCTACCTAGACTGTATATCAAAAGGCCTATGTACACTGTAAAAAATATTCACGTTTTAAAATGAGTACTTTTTGAAATCTGATCGATTATAATACTGCTGGAGTCTATTTTAGCACACAAATGTGGTATCAATATCCTTTTCAATGCAGGATGAAAATTATTCCAAAAGGCGGTATTAATATAATAGCTGTAGCAGTACTGCCATCTTAAATTATAGCGCCAAATTTTGAAAAATCAAAGATGTAATTAATTTCATTAAATAATAATTAATATATTATTTATTTGAAAATTACTAAATATTTATACTGGTCTTAAAAAGTATTTAATGTTGACAAAATATTATAAGTTTAATTTTTTTATTTATTCAATTTACTTAAATAAGCTGAATTATTTTTTTACATTTACCGCAATGTTTTGTAACAAAAAAGAATTACACTTCAAAAAATTCAAATTGATTAATGAAATTATTATTAATAAATATTATACATAACGGAAAATTCGACAAATTATAATGAAAGAAGTAAATTTATTATTTATATTGATGAATACTTTATAAAAATCAACCTCGTCAATTACCGTATTGAAAATAACGTATATTCAGAGGTTATGTTACTCATTGTAACTAAAGCACATGCATTCAAGGGGAATGTTTTAACCTTTAGAGGGCCGGCAATTTTTCCCACAAATTAACATTTTTTTGTGCGAAAATTACAATTCTTACACAAAAAATTTGGAAAATGCAAACATCAGTAAAGGTCCTGTAAAGGTTAATTAGGGCGCTAAGCAATTTTTTTTCTTAAATCAAATTTATAATAGTTTAAATGTGTTTCTTTATCTACAATTATATCAAGTAATGTCGAAAATAATTTTTTCAAACATTTTTAAGAAGCTATAATACTTTAAGATAGTAAATAATAGTACTTTGAAAAAATTAATTTATAAGCTGAAGAAATATTATTATATGCAAGATAAACATATTCTATGCTAAAAGAACATATTCTATTCTTTTCATTAAAATTAACGGAAATATAAAAAGTCAAGGAAATATTAAAATCACATAAGGAAAAATATATTTTGTTTTATTATAATACTACCCATTGGGTAGTATTATGGAGTCATAGCGATATAACCATTTATTTTTATTTATAAAGAATGATTTTTCTTTTAGTAATAATGAAATCAGTAATAAATATTTACAAATCGAAATCATTTTATAAATTGTTTTAAACACTGAAGTATATATTATTCTTTTTAAATTGTTAACAACAAGAGCGGTGGGAGAACTTATGTTCAAAAGAATAAAATAAAAAGTACTTATTTTGTTTTAAGAGTTACAATTTCTCTACTTTAAAATTATCGCAGTATATTGAAATAATAAAATCCTATTTTTATATGAAAGTAATAATTGAACAGCAACGTTAGTGGTGTTGAAATTCAATTAAAAAATTAACAGTTTTCGGTGCTAAATTAATAAAGTATCAACGAAACCAGGATGTTGTACATTAGGCGTAAATTGAGGTAATGTTTGACTTTAACGAATGTAGTCCATTAATTCGATTAAGAAATTGTATAAAAACAAAGTTTTATACAATATTATAAAATAAAATAAAAATAATCAGTCTTATAAAATCGAGATCAGTAACCGTCAGGAAAATTACACAACATAAATATATTAACAGAATTCAATACGAAATGACGATGAAACGAAAAGTAAAGGTTCCGATTTAAAATTTATAGGCGACTATGAAATTCTCGCAGTAGACAGAAGCTTTGTAACTGATAAAGCTTTTGCCAAAGTTTGCCCCAATAGTCTACTCGAATCTTTCCTAAATAAGCACGCAGATATAAACAACAGTGGGTGCTTCTGCGTTGAATGAAATTGAATATTGAATACCCAATAAATTGCCATCATTTCAATTAAAGCTTCCATTGGTTCATTATTGAACATAGCAATCCCATCAACATAGCCAAATAATTTAAGCTTATCGTCATCAGCATTCCCGACTGCACTTAAAAAAGGTGGTTCATTTTTCTGAGGAGTAAGATTATCCAGTGAAGTTCCAGGCTGTAATAGAATCAAATTGTTAAAATTTTTTATCAATTTTTTGCTTTGGATATATTATTTCTATTTCATTTTTTAATATTTTACTATGTTCTTACTTCTATAAATTATTAACTTTAATTTAAATAAATTGATTACAGATAACTACATTCTAAAAATATTTTTCAAATGTTTACTTTATGAATTATTAGCAAGTCCTTCCGATTTTCCTTATTTCTTATGGGAAATAATTTTGGCAGAGTAAGCAAAACGTGGACAGTTTGACCATTAACATCTATTCTAGATGTAGATGGCAGAAGAGTTAAAATTTTAGGAAGAGCTTCTATCCAATTTTTCCGTAAAGCAGATAAAGGAAGATTATAACTATCTGAAAATTCCCAAATGATCTGAAAAAAAGAATATCTAGAGTCAAATATTATCTTAAAATATTAATTAAAATGAAAAAAAAATTCTGTCAGAAAATTTTGTTTATAAATTTGTATTTCCAATGACCCTGCCACCTTAACGGTTTGATACACGGAAAGAAAGAAAAAGTAACTTTTAGTACTTTTATAGTAAAACCTAAACTGTCAGTAACTTCTGTGCATTTCTGTCAACTTGTACTATTCTGCCGTCCAAAGTAAAAAGATACATAAGCGACATTGTCGCTTAGGTCATAATTTCTATTGTATAAGCATAAGAAAAAGAACCTAATCGACAATGTCGCTTATGTATCTTTTTACTTTGGACGGCAGTATTTTCGAAGTAAATTTTTTATATGTTTGAAGTAAATGTTACTAATTTTTTACAAAAATGTGCTTCGAATGGAGTAAAATTTACTCGGAAAGTATTAAAAATTGACAGAAATGCGCAGAAATTCTTGACAGCTTAGGTTTTACTATGAAAGTAGTAAAAGTTACTCTATATTTTTCTCCGTGTAAAGTTTATCTTACCATTTCTGGTACTTTGAATGCTGGATATTTTTGCAGCATTTCTCCTGCAGTTAATTTTTTATTCTCCTTAGAACGACATTCCCTAGTTTGTTGGAGTGTTCTTCTAAGGATGTCCTTACTCCTATCCTTCCCCTTTCTAACTTCTCTTTCCATTATCTCTCTCTGCTCTTTTTGCCAGTCTAAATCAGAATTTTGTGAATTCGAATTCTTCTTTTTCTTCGATTTCTGTCTTTTAATGCAGTCTTTTAATGATTTTTCTACTCCCATCTACAAGTAATGTTTATTAATCTTGTTTGTTGTTAGACAAAGACACTGTAAATACATAATATAATGTATAGAAATATATTCTTACATATTCTATGCCGAAGACACCCTTTAATGAAGGAATTTTTTGAACTAGTGCGACAGCAACTTCAGTTACTTGGTCCTTATTTGTTTTCTCGTGTTGTATCATATTTGAAGCGACGGTCCTTATGATTTCGGATTGCTCTTTGTAGTCAATCAGACCCGAATTAATAGATTTCATTAAGTTTGGGCGAAATATGTCCGGAATTAAAAATTCAAGAGTAACCTGTGGATTAAATATTTTTTATTTTAGATTTGTAGGAACATCAAAATGTTTTATAGAAAATCAAAGAAGGTTTGAAAAATGTTATTTAATAGACAAAGAGGCACGAAAATTATTAGGGGAGAATTTATAGTGAATTTTAATTTAGTCTCGGGACGTTTTAATATCCAAATAAATAAGTTTTATTAAATATTCTTATATATTGGAGGATGATATTTACCTGCTGCTGACACTGAATGCAAGTGTGATTTCGAGGTGGAGAGAAATTATTGTTTCTTTCAACTCCACTTAATGTACTAGGTGAATTATTAGGAGGAGGAAGTTCTACTTCATTTGAAGGACCAGCAATTTCTGGTTCACTTCTGCTTACATTGTCTCGATCAACGATTACTGCTGAGTTATTTTCATCTGCAATAGAGAAATGTGAAAACATTGTAATACCTATATTGTAATATTTCAAATATTCCAATTCACAAACAAATGTTGCCAATCATCAGTAAATTACTTTTCACACGATGATGCTTTTTGTATATTACTTTATATTGTTTTATTATTAATATAATTAATAATAAAATATAATTTATATAATCTTGATACCTATTCGTTTATGATGTACAGGCAAACATCCACAATATATGCAGTTATAGCCAATGTCTGGAAGCCATTCATATTCCAGGCAGTCTGAATGTTCAACACAAGCACCTCTTAATGTATTTCGGAAATCTCTTCCACACACACTCATTGTTTGAAAATCTGTAAAATATGTAAAATCTGTAAAAATATGTAAAATATCGAATGTAGTTTAATATAAATATTATGTGAAAGAAAATGAAGTTTTTATTTAAGACCACAACAATTTTTCTTACAAAATAAAACTTTTTTCAAAATAACACAAATTTACGAACCTTTTTAATTTAAAAAATATTAAGACGCAGTAATTTAATGTAAATCACAAAAATTCTGCTTTACAATTAAAAAAATGTCTTCTTCGGAAATGTGACTGTGATACACATTGGGTGAAATGAGGTCTCTAAACGTGAATTTAACATAATTGTTTTCTTCAGTTACCACTCTATAAGCCATTAGTCGAACATTATGTTCGACTGTTTCGACAAATCGGCATATAAAAACTGGCAAATTATCTTCAATAACAATATTGAATAATTCAGCAAATAGTGGCAAGAAATTTTGATCGTTGTACCCTACTGGAATGTAACACTTCCTGGCGGTATATTTTGTTCCATTATATCTAACCCATGAAACCAATGTTAGTGTTGGGTTATCTGGATATAAATGTTGAAATGGTAAGGTCTCGGTCAATCTTACTTTTCTTGGTCCAGTCACAACCTCTTTCAGTAATGTATGCGTCATTTGGAAAGTTTGGTTCACTTGATGCCAATTCGCTAATGTGAAAGCAAGATTTTTTGCATTGTGAACACATTTTGCTTTGTTCTTCAATAAAGCATGTTTGGCTTCTACTTTCATGCACCAAAATTGAACTAGTGAACCAAATTTTACATAATCGCGAGGAAAATGAGTCATATAATGCTGTTTTGGTGTGAATTTTTTTCCTTCTTCATTTTGGAAAGGCTCATTTTCATCACCAGAATCATTTTCGTTGCCAATATTTTCAATCGCAATATCACCGTCAATATGCATAACCTCATTTTCCATATTTTCCGCAACGTTCATATTTTCCATATTTTCCGCAACGTTCATATTTTCGTCGGAGTACAACCTTTTAAAATCGGTAAGGTATTCTGCTATACACATAGCTAAGTAGTCGATCATTCCTCTATTAATCGAATGCCCCATTACAATAGACGAGACTTCTAATAATTTTGAGAAATTGTGAGTATACTCACAATCTTCGTCTACTATACTTCTCAAAATAAGTGGTAATATTACTGCTAAAAGCCATGTTTGTGATGCAGATTGGTGGAAATTGTTTGTTAAATGCTGCATTTTAATTACAGACGGTTTGCACAACAATTCAGTATAGCCGTAATCAAAATTCTGCAGTTTATCGTTTAATTCATCAAGTGTAATTCTTTGATCTATAAGGCACATTTTTCGCAAATAAAGCTGAATTGTTCTATGAAAAACACCTTCTAAAATAGTGTGCATAACATCTGGAGGAATATTAACAACAGGACTAAAGTTTTCAATTTGGTTTAAGATTGTATCTCGATTAATGCCGTAAAGTTTCGAAAGTCTTATCTTTTCTGCGCCAACAGCGTGTTCAATTTCATAAACTTGACGTAAATAACTTTCTGGAGTTCTAATTAAATTAACATTCTCGGTTGTTAATGTTCGTACATCATGTAAATTAGCTTCGCAGGAAATACAAGGATGTTGCGCAGTAAAACCTTCTTTAAATCCTGATATCTTATGCTGACCAAGATTATCTGCACAGATTGCAAATAGGTTTGCACGAATTATATCCCCATTTTCAATCTCAATACCATTTGCCAAACCTTGAATATTTTCAACAATTGGTGCAAGAATGGCATCCATGCCGTACCTTTGGATGTCTTCGCTTTTAACAATTCCAGCCAGATTCATAAATTTTAAATTGGATCTGTACATTGGATGTATATTTCCCAAAGTCCAATATATCATTCCTAAGTTGTGTTTAGGACCAGCTTTAGAACCAATTGGGTTGCACATCTGGGCTTCGTCAAATCCAAGAATAATTCTAAATGCATCCCTATATTGAGCAAAGAAGGCATTTTGGAAAAAGATAAGACCATCTTCGTCAGATGACAATAAGTTATCTCGAGGAATATGCTGCTGAAGGACATCTCTAAACTCAGGATGTCTTATCCATTGTTTAAGAACGTCGGCAATTGGAACAATCATCATTTCGTCCTTATGTAATTTTGTAGGACGGTCATTCCCACAGGTGCCGGTTCCATGTCTGATAAACCTCCTGCCCAATTCATACCTTTGAGGCTTTATCATTGAGAATGCATGTTCGAAATATTTATCCTGCTTATGCTTCGTATCCAAATTTTGAGTACAGTTAATTAAATTGAGTTCTTCCTGGATATTAACAAATTCTCGTAACTCTATACCATTCTGCTCCAAAACTTCCTCAACGTGATGTAAAGTAGTTCTTACATAAGTAGAAACTACTTCTCGTAAATTGAGTAAAATCTGGTCAATATTTGGTTGCCTCAAATTGGATGACGCCCTTAGTCGTAATATAAACGTGCCAATGGCTCTCTTCAAAACGTTGTCTTCGAAATCTACGTCAACTTCCTCCAATTCTTCTTCAGAATCCTCGTCTGAATCGAAGTTATAGAAAAAATTGTCCATCGTCCTTACAACTTGAGGTGGTCAGTAAAAGAACGTTAACATGGACAGACCTTCAAAACGCCATAAATTTTCATTCATATTTTTCTTAAAGTTATCCTTTGCCAATTTAAAATTTTCAATTTACCAGTCATTAAAAATAATTAGGAGATTACACAATACATTTCTGGTCTCAAAGACTCAAAAACAATTAAAAAAAATAATAGCGAAATTTTAGTTCATAAAAGTTTACATTATTTTAGGAGTGCTGATTTATTTTTTGAAATTATGACATATTTAATATAATTAATTATTAAGAAAATTTAGAAAAGCACTTCATTTGTTCATATTTTTTTTGTTTCAATTCTTATTTTTGAAGAGAAAGAAAATTTGAACATTAGGTTCAAATCTCTTTGACAATTTATTCTATATTTTTTACAGTTCTAAGCAATGAATTATTTATATTTTAAAAAGTGTAAACTTTCACAATTATTTTTTTTAAATAGCCTCAAAAAAAATTTAAATTCATCTACAACGTAAATTTCGATGTCCCTTTAGTATTTATAAACACATACTTTTAAACTTAACAAATTATGTCGCTTTCAAAAAATATAAATGTATGAAACCTTTTAATCTAGTTCACTTCTTCAAGACACTGTTACCAGAGACAGAGAATTGAAATATAACTTTAAAACGACAAATTGCAATGCAAATGATGATAAATAAAAATGAAAAATCTCTTTAATGTGAAAATAATTGAACAAGCCTTGCAAACACAGGCTCGGATCGACTTTGAGGCACAAAAAAAATCGATTAAAGATACTAAAAAGTCGATGACTTTATTCAGTATTGTTACCCGAATTTCATTATATTTCTCTGACCCATTACTGATTTCTGAATTCAAAATTGAAAATGTTGATTATTTTATTTTTTCAAATTTTCAAATCTTGAAAAATTATGATAAAAAAATTATAAGAATTAGTTTTTTAGAAATATTGGAATGAAAATTATGGAAAATAATTAAATTTGTTAAACTAATTTTTGGACAATTTGAAAGCTTATCAATTTTTTGAAGAATCATTTTAAAAATTTGGAAAATTTCTAAAAAAAATTGAATTGAATTTTAAAAAAATTATAATGAAAACTTTCAAAGAATTATTTTTAAAAAAAAATGTAAAACAATTTTATGAAGTTAATTTTCAAAATTTTCAATTAAAATTCCTCAAAACTTATTTTTTATAAATTTTAATGAAACACTTATCACTTATTATCAAATTTTACAAAATTTCAATTGTTAAAATTTTTTTTAATTATACACTACCGTCCGAAATTGTGCGAACTCTGCTTTTTCAACAACTATAAAACTGTTCAAATCTTCAAAAATATTAAATCTAAAATTTTTTCCTCTTTATTTTATTAAAGCTAATAAAATTCTGAAAGAAATGACACCTTGACAAAGAGAATATGTTAATTTTTCAATTAGATATCTAAGAAAAACCCAATTTTCAATGTTTTTACAATTTTTTTTGTTTCTCTGGCAAAAATTAATATTTTTAAACGTTCTTAGGCTCATTGAAATCGTATTTTGTTATGCAATTCAAATTATATAAAACAATTCATGTACACATTCTTCGCTAGCGTATGCAAACCCTGAAAGTTGGCTCATAAAATGTCAAAAAATTGTGATTAATATTTATATGACAAAAAATGATCAGTAAAATGTATAAATCTTAAATTTACTTACATAAATCAGAGAAGTTTAGAATGATATATTTACTTGATTTTTAAACATTATATTTTATTGTAGAATTAAATTTAAATTTTTTGACATTTTATGAGCCAACTTTCACGGTTTGCATACGCTAGGGAAGAATGTGTACATGAATTGTTTTATATAATTTGAATTGCATAACAAAATACGATTTCAATGAGCCTAAGAACGTTTAAAAATATTAATTTTTGCCAGAGAAATAAAAAAAATAGTAAAAACATTGAAAATTGGGTTTTTCTTAGATATCTAATTGAAAAATTAACATATTCTCTTTGTCAAGGTGTCATTTCTTTCAGAATTTTATTAGCTTTAATAAAATAAAGAGGAAAAAATTTTAGATTTAATATTTTTGAAGATTTGAACAGTTTTATAGTTGTTGAAAAAGCAGAGTTCGCACAATTTCGGACGGTAGTGTATATTTCAAAAATTTAATTAAAACACTTAAAAAAATTGTTATTTTGATTAAAATTTTACGAAATTTTAATTATTTTAAAATTTTTGAGTTAAGTATATAGTTATTTCAATACTTTAATTATCTTAAAAAAATTATTAAAAAATAATTGTTGAATGAGTTGACTACATTCATAAATCGTATATATATATATATATATATATATATATAGTTATTTAGTATAGAAATAAAAATAAGTTGCACTTTATACTAGAAAAGAACTATTTTGTTGGAAAATTTAGAAAAAAAGTCGAAAAAGTCGCAGTTTTTGAAAGTAAGTCGTAAAAAGTTTCATTTATTAAAAATAGTCTAAAAAAGTTGAAAAAGTCGTACTATCCGAGGCCTGCAAACATAATATGTCAACGTAAACTTTTAAAAAATCGTAATATTGTTTACCCTAAATCAAATATACTTTTTATAAAGCATTAAAAATATTAATGTTTTAAATAATTAAAAAACTAAAAATTAATTAGTTTGTTGTTAAAAATTGTTGAACATATAAGTTTTTATTGATTGTTTTTCGAGATTTCCAAGAGTTCAATATTTTATATAAATGAATAATAAATAAATAAATTTTTCGAATATTTAATTTAATGTACTTTTATACATAGTTGACAATATTAGGAAATTTTAAAATTGAAAGATAATCAATTTATAGAAAAAGTTATTTGAATGTTATCCACAATTGATAGCTTAAAAATAAACCTTTAAAATTAGGAAATTTTTAATATAAATTTAATTATAAATTATTTATTTATTATTATTTATTTTATGATTCTGATTTATTATTATTTACCACAAATTTAATTCATATTTAAATTTAGGAACATAAATATAAGAAAAATACCTTCGTTAATTATTCTGTGACGTCCACTTCTTTATTAAAAATATTCCTTATCAGGAAATTACGTTGCAATGCGTCGACCTTCAATTTATACCTGTCAACCAAAATCTGTAAAAAATTATAGACATTTGGTATTTTTGCCGATTTGCAGTGAGGTTAACAAAGATGTATTTTTGTACATACGTCACTCTGTACAAGGAAAGGGAACCTTATTGCCAGGCCTGCTTATGGCACATTTGCGAAAACTATAAACAAAAGATAAAGATATTTGTAGAAAATTATTTATAAATATTACACTTTTAATTAAAAAAATTCTTATTCTTGGTTTTTTACTACACTGTAACATTCCTCACAATTGTATTTAGATTACATTTTTAGGTTAGGAATTTTAAAGAATGAAAGAAATTATCACAAGTATTAAGTTTCTACAGTGACACACTACTCTAATTATTGATTCGAATAACTTTTCATAATCGTATTAAAAAAGAAACGTTTGTTTTACTTGCCAGTTGAAATCTAAATCTTTCCTTTCGAAAAAAACTTGATGTTACCACAATCAATATATTTTCACTTTCCTTACTTTATGGCGCGAACGATAAATCGCCTGAAACTCACAAGTGATGAATTTGCTGTGTCGTATAAGTAAAAAGTAAATTTGATTGGCCCTTGTGAAAATTCCAATCAAATGACGAACCAATAAAATTTTGCGATACGCTTCTTCTAATATATGCTTTATGTTTGCGAATTTATTGTGCGTTAGCCTTCATTGTTTGACATTTTCAGAATAAAGGTTTAGTCCCATATCGGCGTGAAAGAGAAAAACTTTTAGCCAATAAAACCTTTCGCTTAAATGGAAATCATTCTAATGAATAATTTTCATTGGCTCAACGTTAATCGTTTCTTGGTGCCATGGCATTAACCCTTCAAAAAAGTAAATACACATAATAATATCAGGAATATTTATATTCATTGTAATATAAATAAACTTACCTTACAATACAATTATAATTAAAAACTTTTCTTTGTTATTTTAGTATATAACACGTGTGTATATCACGTTATACGTGTATATTTATTAAAAATGTGATGTTCTATTTTAAGACAAGAACAAATATTATATAAATATAATTTTTATTCATATTTAATATTTATATAATAACTTTATTATAAGACATTAATTACGAACAATTTGGCCAGTACTTTGCATTAGTACGAAATTAATACCACTTGTAGTATTATAATCAAATTATTATCATATACTGTGCTATAATAATACAACTAGGGACTATTTTCAGTGAGTACTATTTTAATACCAAAATAGGGTACTAATTTAAAACTTTTTTTTTACAGTGTAGATGGCCGTCTTAAATTCTATACAGATGTGATGTAAGATTTACATCTGCCGTCTTAAATTTTTATTCGGGGTGCATTGAGTGATGGCACACTGAAAATTGAAATAAAAATTAAAAATTTTGAAACAGAAAATTCATTTTTTGAAAAAGGAGACCATGTGCAAGTAACAGGAATTATTAAATCTAGTAGTAATTATCATTTATAAACAAATAATATAATATTATAATATATCTAATATAATATCTAATAATAATAATAATAATAATATTTTCAGAAGAAGGATTGATGTATGTATTTGTCATCACAAAAAATTGACGACATAAAAATTATTAGCCAAAAAAAATGGATTTTAAAAAAATATTCCAGGGTTTTCACTCAATAGTTATGTAGTTATGTAGTTACATTATAAATAGTTCTTTAAATAAAATCGTTTTGATATCATTATTTTTTATTAGTTTTATTAATTTATTTTCAAATCTATCTGCTCACATTATTTTAAAATTTATGCCTAGATTATGTCTATGATTATGTCTATCTTTATAGACATAATTATTTATACATTTATACGTGTAGAATACAAAAAAATATAGTAAGCACGATTGGGGTTGATTATCATAGCGTTTTCAAGGAAAAACTGATAATTTTCGGTCTATGTGTTTTTATGTATTTCCATGCTCACATTACAGGAAAAATTAAACAAAATTGGAATTTTTCCATCGGCCTTCACACATTAATCCCCTCAAATTTTAGGATTAGGGGTACGGAACCCTCGGTTTTAATGCGAGTGTAACTCGCACTTGTCCGATTTTTTACTTTATTATCTATATTTTAGATAATAAGAAAAATTATGTTCCTAAGTTTTAATAAAATAAAAAAATGAAAATATTGACTTATGTTAAATAAATTATTTAACATTGAAAATAAATTATAATTTATATATAATTATTGTTTCTTTATTGTTCTGCTGCTCAAGTCTTCATTTTCCTCAGTCGCAACTTATCAAATCAATTTTATATTTATTTTCTCACGTTAAGTTTGCGTAATGGTTAGCGTGTTAGATTACGGAGCGTTAGGTTAGGGGGTTCGATCCCATGGAGCGTTAAATATTTTTCAAAATTTATGTAAGCGATTGCGTTAAATAATAATAGGTAGAGGTAAATATAAGGTCTCCAGTAATAAACAATGTGTTATAATTAATTCCGTATTTAATTTTTTTGCTTATAGTGTTGGTGTTACTATACATATTTGAAGTTGGGTCGACTTTGGGATTATTATTTGTCAGGCTAGAATTGTGCATTCTTCTGTTTTTGTTTGTTACAAGTTTTTGTTGCTTACTGATTCAATCAATTACTCATTACAACTGATTATAAGCCTGGATTACATTTTTCACTGATTGTTATTTTTGTCATAAAATATATAAGGTAATTCCCAGAAAAACTCTCATGGCTCTGGCAAGTTCATCCCTAAGTAGGGCAAATCCTTGCAAAACCGTTTCAAGCCATTACTAGGGCCTTGCCAGTTTGCCATGTCAGGCCCTTGCCAGAATCCAGGCGTACTGGGAAGGGCCTTGAGAGGCCCAGACCAAAATTTCTGCACGGGTAACTACACTGTAAAAAATTTTTTGGTTAAAATTCCCCAAAATTCTAGTGACGCAAATTTGAAGGACATTTTGTGGAAAATTCCCTAAAATTTTCTGGAGAAACTTTTCCCTAAAATTTTAGGGAATATTCTACAAATATTAGTGAATATTCCCAAAGATTAATATGAAATATTTACCAAAAAAGGTTGGTGATAGTTCCTAAAAATTTTTACAGTGTATCCTTGCCCCATTCTCCCCTATATATCGAATAGAATATGAGCGATTTAAAAATATTTAAATCAGAAAAAAAATCCTAAAGATGACCTTGTTTTTAAGCCATTTAAACTCTTATACCTCCTTAAGGGAGATCATTTTTCGACTATAGAGAGTTAATGCTATAAGAGAGTTAATATAATGTTAACTCACATTTGGAACTTCAAAATTTTTACTCCCAACTTTGGCTGCCAACTCTCGAAATTTTTTACTTTATAAGATTGTATATTATGATACGAATTTGTTTAAAAACAACACAACCTTTTTTCTGATTATATTTAAAAGCTCTAATCTGTTTGCTTATTAAATAATATTAAACATAATAATAAAAATAAATCAACGACCTAAGAAGATTATATAAGATTTGTCTGAATAAAACCAGATTTATACTTTTACTCATTATAATGTAATTTTTTTCAAGCTAAACTCCAGAGATTGACACTCAAAATGCAGTTCAGCATGGACGGCCATTACGACCATCAAGTCTTTTCACAAGGTTCGATAATCGAAAAAGTGCAATGCAAGCAGTGTTAAAAATGTATTCAATATCGTTTGTCAGGTTGAAATATGTATGCATGTTGTAGAAATATAGTAAATGAAATCGTCATGCGCAGAAAAAGGTTGAGACACATGTGTCGAACCAGAAATTTGTAGGCGGGGCTAGTACTGACTAGCAGACGTATCTCGACGACTGAATATGTTCATCCCTCCAAGAACGCTCCACCCTTAAACAAAATTGAACAACCTATGATTGGCTCAAGCTACCCTTGGACGCCTCCACTTGTCTCTTATGACTTAGCTAGAATAACCCCTAAATAGCACGATGCGCGAAAGCAGTCTCATTTGAGCATGGACCCTTGGTCTATCGCCTCTATAACTATATGTCAGTTCTTCAGTGATAGTGTTTAATGTGTGTTTAGTTCTCTTAAACGCGATATCTGGTTTCAACATAAAGAAACAAATAGTTTCTAAATTTTAAGGTGATGTTTTTTTTACCATAAATGGCTATTGTTATGTGATTTTTTAAATGAGATCATTTATTGAAAAATTAATATAAATGGTGCTTCGTAATTTGACATTATATATCCAAAATCGTAAATTAAGACTACAATGTTGCAATTCTAAAAAGTTTTTTTAAAACCGTAACTAGACGTTTAAAATGTGATTTTTTTCATTTTCCCTTTTTGATTAACATGATTGTCATAGTTTGCATTTCTACACGCGATGTCTTAGAAATTTTTTTAATCATTTGAAAATAGTGATATATATATTTTTTTTTTGTGAACTTTTTAATTTTGTAAGTAGTTTATTTTTTTCATAAAATGGCAGAATTTATTATTAAGATATAGTGAATAAAGCACATTTCCTGACAAAATTTAAACACTGTTTTAAAATATAATTATATGACAGACTATATAGCTGCTTTATTCTGAGTGAATTTTATACTGTGTTTGAAATAAAAAGCAATAATTATTTATTTACTAAATATAAGTCATACTAATAGTTAAATCATTATTGCAGTTTAAAAAAGTACTAAAGTTAAGTGTTATTTTATATATTTATTTATTATTATGTATTATATTATTTTATTTATATATATTATACATAAGTTTCGAAGTAAGGGTAGAAAATTTGTTGTAACTGTAAAAGCAGACTTTATTTTATATGATGTAAAAAGAGTATTGTTTCTTACGATTAAGCATATATATAGTTAATATTTAGAATAGAAGATGCCACTATATCGTTTTATTTGCTGAGAAAAAATTATTATTATTTTTTCGATTTTATATTTATCATTTATGTATTTATAACTGTTTATTAATTATGCACATTAATCACTCACTTCACTTGTTGACATTGTTTGGGGTTCAAAGGGTAAATAAGTTAATAAAATTGTGTTATGTCAGTTATAGGTACTATAAAATAAAAAGTGTCTGTTTACTAATTGTCAATTATTTAGCATAATTTTATTTTAACCGAAAAATGATATTTGCTTTTACAGTTTTATGTGATTGCAAATGGTTGATCCTCCACGAAGTCGTACCTTATAATATTAAAATTATTGTAGCCGTAAAACTTAAAAAAATATACTTTTACAGAATATATTTATATAGAGATTTGATTACTCTCAAAATTTAACTATTATTTTTATTTCACTCTGTGTTTTCAAAATTCATTTATTTTTTGTTAACTACATAAAGTTTAAAAAAATTGGAGACCAAAAAAGCCGCTGTTAAGTTATAATAATAAATTTTTTAGTTTTTAGCAAAAAAATGTCAGTAACTCCGTTAAATCTAATCATAAAAGGTTCGCGCAAGTATTAGGTCAAGTAATCCTATATTTAAAACAATTTTTATGTTGATTATTATAGTTTAGGGGAAGGTGGGGTAATGTGAATATGAATCAGTGAAAAAGTCACTGGTCTCAAATCAGTCGCTGAATTCTATAGCTATTTGAATCAGTGGTTTCCACTGACAGTTAGTGACATTTCACTGGAGAATCAATTACTTTGACTGAAAATCAGTGAAATGTTACTGATTCAAATAGCTAGAATTCAGCGACTGATTTGAGACAAGTGACTTTTTCACTGATTCAAATTTAGAGAGTAGGTAATGGGAGCTTTTAAATTACAAGTATACAGGGACTTTGAATTTCGTGGAAATAACTCGGTCATACGAAGACAAACGGTCTTATTTCTGACAGATTTGTAGAAACTACAAGGAAAAATCAAGTTTTCGAGTTTTTCTTCTTAAATGGAAATTATTTCTGGAGATCAAATTAAATAGTTAAAAATTTATTATTTAATTATGTTTTGTGATTTTATTAGAGAAAAATATGTGCAGATTTAGATACATGTATAAAAATAGAGATAATAATTAAATTTGTTTATGTTTTTCTTCTTTTTTTCAAATTGTGGTCTGAGAAAATTCTTTGGGGTAATGGGAGAAATGTGTCAGCCAGCAGAGTTTCGTTACCTCGATATGGCTTTTCTAATTTTTTGGAAAATTGAACTATTAATAAATTGAAATATTTAATTGCTAAGAATCAATATTTGTGTTTTATTGTCTAAAATGTATGTTATTATTGGATATTTTAATACTAAAGAAGCTGTAGGTCTGTTTTATGTCTTAAATATTTTGTAAAATGTTCATCTGTCGACAACTATTGACAAAATAAGAAAAATATCTAAAGAAAACATAAATTATATCCTTTTATTAAAATTTCAAGTAAGAGCTCCCAATACCTCACAGGTGGAGTAATGGGAGAAAATGCATTTTTTTAGAAAACATTTTTTTTGCAAACTTACTTTTTTGTTCTTAATTTCTAATTAATTATAATTAAAGAAAAATAACAAAAAGAGTAAAAAATGACCAAAACAATATTTTATTATACCAATTTTATTAACCAGTGACATTTTAGATTTTTGAAATTTTTGTTCTTTTAGAGTGTCAATTTATTTTCGACTTTATTTAAAAGTATTAAAAGACACCTACTGCGACGTGAAAATTTAGAAAATTTTTTAATTAATTATTAAATTTTGTAATAGAACTTAAAATTCAGTAAATATTAAAATTTGAACTTCTACAATTTTTAATATTTTTCACGGCTAATTGTTTTATATTTTTTTATCATTGTAAACAATCAATCGTATACGAGTTTCGAAAAAATTTAATTTTTTCAAAAATTAAAATTCCTAAAAATATTTTCAAAAAATGTAAAATTGTTAAAAATTATTTTTCTAGGTTTGAAATAATGTAGAAAAAATTGACAATTCTATTTAATGTTAATTTTGAATAATTGAAATTACACTAGCAATATTCTTTTAAAATATTACATCTTCCACAATTTTTAATATTTTTCATCATCAATGTTTATTCATTCATTTCATAATTTTCAACAATCAATTGAATGGATTTAAAAAATTATTTCTCATTATTAAATAATGAGTGGGGAGGTTATCTCTTAGTAAAGATAAAGCTTATAAAGGGCATAGATTTATATTAGATCAAGGAAGTCAAACATAATGGAAATATATTTCATTGAACATGAAGTTCAATTAAGTCACGTGTGGGCTATTCCAAAACTATCCATTTTGATTTTACAGTACCCAACTGCATTGACGAAAGTTTCGAATTAATATTCTGTCAGTTGCTATAAGAATTATTCTGAAATTTTTTTCCGAAATTTAATCTTTATTGAATCTTTATTGAATCTAAATTTGTACGTAACTCAACAAAAAATTATTTTCGAATGAATTCGAATCAATCCATTTCATTCCAAAGCAAAATTTTAATCTTTTTGAATTCTGTAGTTTCATTTTAATAATTATTATTATACTTACCAAAACTGATTAAATATATCCAAAACTTTCATCAGGGGTGCTAATTTTGTAACTAATCGCATAAAAAAAGTAAAATAAATCTTTTAATTAATTTAAAGAAATATTGTTTCTTCTCCTGAATAACTATGAAATACAAAACAGTTTTACCGTTACTTTTACTGTTTTTTAACAGTTTGTAATTTTAAATTTACAAAACTTTTTTCAATTAGTAGTTTTCACTGACAATCAGTAAAAATTTCACTAAAAATTAGTATTTTTTACTGATTTCAATGATTCAAATAGCTGGAATTTAGCGACTGATTTGACATCAGTGACTTTTACACTGATTTAGATTTAGAGTGTATATACTTAAGATAGGGGAGACCGCAGGGACAGTTGATACAAGTGAAATATTTCCGATACGGTTGATTATAGAGATGAGGGTTCAAAGGGAAAAAGTTTCCATGTATGACTCTTTTTGAGATATCGTTAGAATACCCACACGAGTTTTACAAGTCAAAAAATGGACACATTGATTTTTTAAGGGGTGTACAGTTTTTTAACCCTTAAGCTGTAAACATGGGTCACTCGTGCCTTTCAAAAAGTGACACCTCTTGCTATCTCGGAGGTTGGTCGGTCAAACTATATTGTAAAAAATTATACACTAATGAGTTACATGTTCCATAAATGCCAAAGGTTTAATGCATAAACAGTAGTTACAGAAACCAATTGTATTTTGAAAAGTGCACGAGTGACCCATGTTTACAGTCAACAGTGCCAAAGTGTGGAATGTTAAGTAAAGTATTCTTTGCTAAATTCTAGTATTTTTTTTAAAATTTCGATTTCTTTTCTTTAAATAATTTATTTTTTAGTTCTGATGTTTATATTTTTAGATGATTTTTATTTATTTTTTATAAAATAACGTTTTTTTTAGAAAAAATTTTTTTTTAAAGTTAATAAAAATTAAAAAATAATACAATGTCTTTTTATTGTTTTTTAAAGTTAATAAAGATTAAAAAATAATATTATGTCTATTTATTGTGATTTGTACCTCTTTTGCGTACATTGAAATACATGATTTTCATGCTCAAAACTTAAGCATTTATTTTATTTATAAAGATTTTCAGTATTTTTACCCTTAAACTTCCACTCTTAAGCTTTACTCTCTCGTTAGAAATTTTAAAAAATATTGATTTTTTTAAAAGTTATGATTTAAAAAAAAATTTTTTTCGTGTTTTTGTTTGTTTAAACAAATATATTATTTAAACAAACAACATTTCAGCAATATAATGATTGGTCCTTATTCTAGGATAGTTAATGCAATATTATGAATTTTGTCCGATTTTTTAAAGCACTTTAAAGCACTTTTTAAAGCGTTGAACATGAGTGACCCATGATTACAGTCAACGTAGGTCAAAAACCACCTTACAGTCTAAGGGTTAATAAAGTGATAAAATGTGATATAATATTTTAATTCGATAAATGGAAGATAAATGAAGGACTAAAATTTAACTTTTCTGAAAACATTTTGGAGACTTATACACACTAAAACGTTTGACTTAAAATATAAATGATCTAACTTTCATTCTAGCCTTAAATTAAAGCAGTAACTAAAAATAAGTTAATGATTTACAGACAGTAAGCATCCTATATCTTAAA